GTTATATTCATGTATTATTTGCATGTTATAAAGTGTACGTATGTGTAGGTCAATCTTGTACTCCATAATGAAATGCTAGTTTTGCACTATACTTATATTAATTAGGATCGCCCCAATCAAGAAGGAAATGTTTTTGGTGGGAGCGTTAATGGTTCTTGGCAATTGGGAGATGTATTATAGGTTACTCAAGAATTCAAAAGTAAGGAAGTGGTGTAGACGAGAATCAAATGTTATTACATGAAAGTATATCTTATTGCTTTTTTAGAGGAAAATAAGAAACAAAAAAGTTTCAAATGAAATGTGTTAATCATGTTGATAGTTGTCCATGGAGGGTGAGAGCTTGTTAAGGTGGCGAGATAGATAGATTGTTACTAGATGGGGAGGCAAACATGCTTGTGTGAACATGTATCTTTCACAGGATCAGAAACAATTCGATTCTAACTTCATTTGTTCATGCATTTTAGGTGTCTCTATATAAAATATTTGAGTCTGTTTAACAAAGTGGTTTGTTAGGTATGGTTCAGGTGGATCCATCAGTTATCATCGCGCTTAGTCAAGAGAGAATTTACGAATTACATGGGTTTAAAGTGTTTGATCAATAAGCTTCGAAGACCACACAAAAAGTCATAATAAAGTTTTTAATGATTGGGATGAGTCATATGCATATTCGGATGGTTAAAGTACATGATACTATTTGCCTGAGATTCTTATTACAAGATTGATCGAATTCCCTATATTTTGGACTATGAGTTTGACGAATCTCATAAGATGTTTCGACGGGTTTTTTGGTCATTCAAACAGGGATGTGATACCATCAAATATTGCAAAGTTGTGGTCTAAACTGATGACACCCATTTTATAAAAAAAATATAAGGGGGACAATGTTGATTGCTACCACACAAGTTGGGAATAACCATGTGCTTCCACTTGCTTTTGCTATTGCAGAATATGAGTCATTTAATGATTGGTCATGGTTTTTGCATAAGCTACGGTGACTTGTGACCAATATGCAAACAATATGTCTTATAGCATACCATCATATAAGCATAAAACATGTATTAGCAAACAATCCTGATATTTAGGGGCCTATTCATGCTTACTATGTGTACTACATCAGAAACATTGCCACAAATTCCACAATGTATAGTCGAAGAAGTACTTATTGAATTTAGGCATGAACACCATTTATTCCACTAGTTTAATGCTAGTTGTTTACTTAATGAACAATGTCATGGTAGAAATTAACTTTATTTGTATGTATATGTAGGTTGCATGACTTTAAGGAAATATTTTGACATACTACTGATAAAATTTAGGGACTGGAAACCAGAGATTGTTGCTTGTATTGATGGTATCTCTAAGGGGGAATGGGATATTGCATATGACGAAAAAGGTAGATGAAATGTGTAAGAACCCGCACCGTTAATTAAGGAAATTAATTAATTAATTGTGTGAAATTAGGAAATAATTCCATAATTGACCCTACTAATTATGATATGGCTTAAATAAATAGGGTGAGTGAATAATAATGCTGAAAGTCGCTTTTCTATCGAAAAGTGCAGATACCGGTTCTGCTACTCGGTATAAATGCGTACCGATGAAGTATCCCAGAAAATTATGAAAAGTGTGTATATGTCACTAGAATAATATATAGGATTTGTAAAACAAGTTTCAAGTTAAAATAATGAGAACTGGTGCGGATTTGTAAAACAAGTTTCAAGTTAATATAATGAGAACTGGTGCCAGAACTGATACTGGCTATGGAAAAGCGCGTACCAGAAAGGTGCTGCGAAAAATAAAATAAAAATATGATAAATCCTGGAAAAATGAGTAGGTTCATAACACTAAGTTTTGGATTAAAATGCTAAGTGTAGCTATTAGTGTTAATATTGTGTGATTAAGTTTAAACCGGCTATAAATATTAAGAGGCACATGATCCTAGGTCTGGAATCACAACCCTACGTGCCTCGATTTTTCTGAAACATCTCCAGCCACCTTGCCACCCCTTCTTCTCCACTTGGTGAGTCAAAGTGAGCACCTTTGCTTATAGTTTCTTCACAAAAATACATTGGCCTTGTGTGAGCTTGCATTGTGTGTGGAAAAGAACCACCATTTCTGAGTTCTAGCTACTGTTTTGGTGGAGTCTAGGTGCTGACTTTGTAGTTGTGTTGTGAGAGCCTTGGGTGATGACTCTTTGAGCTTCAAAGAGCCATCTTTGGGTGCAAAAGACCAACCTTTGGGGTGTCATTTTCGTTTGCCTTGTGAAGTCAGACTTGAGGAGCTGTTGTGAGAGCTTCAAGAGCCATTGTTACTCTATTTTTAGCTTGGGTAAGTTTCACCATCACTTTGATCATGAGTTTAATGGGTAAAAGTGGAGTCTTGACATGTTTAATGAGATAAACAAGTAACCAACGTGATAACTGACCTAGAGGGATTTAAAGTGCATGCTTTAACGTTTAGAAGTGTTAAAAATGGAACCTTGGAAGTGATATCTCGCGAAATGCAGAAACTACATTATGTCGCGAAATATCCGGATATGATATCCGAATATTGATATCCGGATATTGGTATCCGGATATGCGGTCTTGTGATATCCGAATATGGATATCCGGATATGATATTCGGATATGTCCCCGACATAAATTCGAATATTATGGGTTTGCGTGAACAGTAACGGTATTGTTCATACAGAACTGAGTTAGGGGTTTGTGAACCCTAGATTGACGAAGTTGGACTTCTGTAATGACTTGTTAAGTCAGAATCTAAGTGATTAAGGGCTTAAGGCTTTGTGAGAAGCCTAAAGACATGAAACGCAAGAGAGAAGCGTTGTCTTTATGTTATATGTTTATGAGCTATAGTTGTTGACATGATTGCTGGTCCAAAACAGATTGTGATTCTGCTGTGTTTGGACTTGAGCTTGTGTGGACTCTTGGCTTGGATAGCTAGCTTGCAAGGTAAGCTTTCGCGTCCTCGGTTTAGCCATTGTGTGGTTTCACCATACCCCATAGGGGGATGGTTTATATGCATGATGTGTTTACATGCTTTGATAATTGAAATGTTGTTGAGCTTTATGTGCAATGACTTCTAATATGTATGTATCGTTCCACTTAGACGGTAAGCCTGAGTATGTGGCGTCATACTAGACGGTGACACTGTGGGTGGGTGCAAGTGGCGTCTTGCACTAGTGTGGGTAATAGACGTATTCCTGCATTTCTCTGGCCAGTAGATTAGTTATAACACACATGACATGATTATCTGCTGCATTGCACTGATTTTGGAACTGATATTGAATTACTGCTTTTAGAACTTATATTGCAAATGTAAGTGAGCTTAGGGTGGAAGATCCTTGAGGACCCCTTGTCTTACTGAGATTTCTGTTTAGAGATCTCACCCCACGTTTGGGCCGCATATTTTAGGTTCAGGTAATGCGGGGGTTGAGACCTCTAGCGTTAGGAGACCAAAGATTAGCTGATTTTTATGTTGTTTTGCTACTTATGTTGAATGATGGATTATGCCTGTTGCTATTATGCTTTTAGTTTCATGTTATGTTATTGAATTGAGACTTTGTTGGGCCTTGTTGCCTTATTTGGTGAGCATGAGAATTGTCCATGCCACATTTGATTATGTATCGTTGTTTAGATTTGAGTTGTAAAAACTATCAGGGTTGTCCGACTTACGTGTTGTAGTGCCGTGACTAGAGACTCGGTTAATGATCTTATTTATGATATGAGGTTATTCAGTATAGATATCTGTCTTTTGCATTTACATACAGGCAATGTTTTGGAAATGAATTAAGTAATTTAACTTGGTAATGATAATGACATCATAATTGAAAAGAAAAAGAATATTCCGCATTTTTAATTAAGCGTGGCTTAATACGATGGCATGTTAACAAACCGGGTATACACGAGGTGTTACAAAATGGGCATATATCTACTAATTTATCAGATATTTTGAATAAGGTTCTAAAGGGTGTTCGGAGTTTGTCAACTACAACCATTGTGAAATACACGTACAATATGTGTGTTAAGTACTTTATTATGAGAGGAAATAATGCTTGTCAAGCAACGGCGGACCTACATATGTTCCCATGTTTGTAATTGCAGACATTAAATTTTTTTTTGGTGGTTGACATTTGATGATTTATAGTTCTCATGTCTACATATGATTTATGTTAAGTTGAAGGGTTTTTTTTTTAATGCATTTAAAATTTTTATTAAAAAAAATTCGGACGCAGCCCCGAACCCACCACTAAATATGCACACACAAATATAATTTTCTGGGTCCGCCACTGTTGTCAAGAATAAGCCATTAGCAATCGTTATTGAAAGGTACTGCTTGATGTGATGCAAAATAACCAAGAGGTCACATCTACACACGTTGTTTGTATCTATGACCATAATTCACATAGGTTTAAGGTTGAAAGGGCTTTTAATTATTTTACAAGTACATATGGTCGTGTTGTTTCAGTCAATTTGACCGAACTTGATTATCAACGTGGAAGGTTAACCGCATTTCATTATGCATGCTCTCATGTCATTGCCACGTGCGGGTTTCGACAAGTTAGCCTTTATAAATATATAGATCTAGTCTACTCACTACAGAACATGTCTATTTCACCGAGCCTCTCTCCGAGATAGTGCCCATATCGTTACGCCTTTCGTGCGGGTCGGAACTTACCCGACAAGGAATTTCTCACTACCTAAGTGAAATGTCTTACTCATGATCCATCGTCTTATTATTCTTCTATATAATACTAGCAATCTCTATAGGTCTAGTGATTTGTAAACTACTTTATCTGATGAGGCCAGGGCAACTCATTCTTTTTCCTCAAGGTGAGATGGTGCATCTCTTCTGGCTGTAAATACTTATAAGGTATATCTTGATGCATCTTAATTTAAATCATGAAATGGTATGTCGAATGATATTCTATAATGTTAAAATAAATCATCGGAGTGAGTGCTCTCCAACGATAGTTTCGTGAATATGATATGGCAAAACTAGGTCTGAGTGCAGAGTCCATATAATTTGTAAAAAAAGCATGTTCATAATTTGAATTGTAAAATACTTATAGCGAAATCAAAACAACTAAATAAGAATGAATATATTTTACTATTACCTGATGCTCAGTCATCCTATACTTTGATAGATTATAGAAGATTGTCTTATGCCCAATCCATCTACAAAGAATGACATTAAACAAAAAAAAATTATATATTACAAATGGAGTCATACCATATACCAATATAACATACCTTACACGAACTGGTGTACTATCGTTGTAATATGGGAGAGCTGAAATAATATTCAGAGCAATGGTAAGGGACCTAGCCCACACCCACATCTGTAACACTATCATTTACACAAAATATTTCAATCCGATTTAGTGAGGTGGCAATGCGCAACTCATGATACAGGAAGGCTAACACCATTAATCCCTAATTATTTTTTCCACATGCTTCATAATCAAAGAGAAATGGTAGATATCATAGATGCACCCTACCCCATTGGGATTTGTAAGTAAGAAGCCTCTAATAAAATGTAATGTGAACACCTGCATGAAGCGTACAAGTTCCTCTTCATAATGAATGAAATCATTAACATTCGTAAAATGTAAATCCAACAAAGAAGTCTTAAAAGAGGCACCCCTTAAATCAATTATAGTCGCGGTCCTCCCATATAGTAGCGATATAACATGAATCAAATTTCTTGTACCAGATAGGCCGGTGACAGGTGTACCTTTTGTAGGGAGACCAATAATCATTGCTACGTCCACAACCATCACAATAACCTCTCCTTGAGGCATATGAAAAGTATGAGTCTTCGATCTCCATCGCATGTTTAGAGTTGTGATTCATGATCTGTCAAGCTAAAAAAAAGGAGAATTATTAATCTTCAAAATTCTTAAATATTTCAATAAAATTAAATGTACAAATTAATTATATATGGTTTGTAACATACCTCCATATGGCCCATGCGAGCAGCTTTAAGAAAATCGGCATGATATAAATATGGTACAATGGCGTCTGGGACCACATCATACCCTGCTAGTCTACTACTCCAAACTATTAAGCTCCTATAATACTCCTTCTCTTCCACGAAACCTCTAAGCGGTGTCTAGATTGCATGAACAATAATGAATGATCACGCACATCGAGATGAAGAAGTCTTCTAGGTGAATCGTTATACACCATCACTAATAAATAATAAATCTATAAATAATTAAAATTTAACCATAACTATTTGCTAATTACAGCAACTAAAAAGTTCTAATAAGTAATTACTAATCACTTTAAATTCTAAATTATTCACATTTTACAATAACAGTACGTTATTTAATTAAAATATAATCACAATTATTCACTAGTTACAACAATTAATAAATACTAATCACAATTAAAAATCTTAAATTATACTTTTAAAACACTAAAAATTAATCATTAATAGTAATTAATTAAAATCTCAAAACACAATTAATTACACATACCTATGTTTATAATAACAATACAGTATATTTAATTAAAATATAATCATAACTATTCACTAATTAATTACAACAATTACTGAATATTAATCACTATTAAAAATATTAAATTACACTAGTAACATCCTAAAAAGTGGAAATGGATCCTGTCATGTGAAAAAATTGTCATATGGTCATGTTATTTGATCACAGTCACTCATTGATGATAAGATAAGAGAGAGAAAAATGTATAATTTTTAAATGAGTGGTTGTGATCAAATAATATGACCACATAACAATTTTTTCACGTGAGAGAATCTATTCCCTAAAAAAAGTAGTCACTAGTCACTAAGTATTAAGTAAAATCTATAAACACAATTAATTACACTATTAACATCCCAAGATGCAGAGGCATAGGGATTGGTCCAACTATGCTAGTATATGGGATTAAACAATTGATAGTGAAGAGTGATAATGAGGTCATAATAAATCAACTCTTATCCACTAAGCCTCAAACGTATGACTCACACATAATACACCGCATCAGACATTGGGTGGGTGAGGATTGTTTTTACGCATGTGCGTCGAGGAGCCAATCTATGTGCTTATAAGCTTGCTCAATCAGCCCGAAGTACGGAAGGCAACTCAACAATATTCTCTACTGCCCCTACTTGGATGATCCCTCTACTGGCAGAAGGCAGAAGGCAGAAGGCAGAAGGCAGAAGACATTAGTCATGTGAACAGGAGAAGTATTCTTTTTTTTTTTTTTGCGCATTTGCCTTCCACATTTACCAAAAAAAGTAAAAGAGAAATAATACTCTCATGTCACATGAGATTACATCATTTTCCTACACAAATTTATTTTATGTGCTAATTAATTTTTTTTTAATATAAAATATGGGACTCATATTTAACTTCTTTCTACTTTTTTTCTCTCCTACAATCCTACAACATAAGAAAACTTAAACCAAAGTAAAATCTCTAAACACAATTAATTACATACATACCTATATTTACAATCACAATACATTATTAGCGTGTCCAGGCTAATTAAGAAAGAAAAATGTTAGAGAGACAGAATTTTTGTTGGAATACTTTTAAGAATTATATGGCATGATTGCTATTTACTGACTAATAGACGGGTGACTCCTATGATCATTTTATTCCATCCAATAACTATTTTGTATTCTATAAAAATTGCAATTACATTCTTCTAGCTAGCTAGCTGTATAGCATTGCACCTTGAAAAAAGCGAGTTTCCTTAACTTTATAAAAATTAATGCGAGATTGTTGCTTTAATTGGCATAATAAAAGTACGGATAAAAAGAAAAAGAAGAAGAAGAAGGAACAATGAAATAAAAAAAAAGAAAGAGAAAAGGCAATAATTTATTTGGACTGTGGCTGGTGTATTGTTACATCACAATCCGTGCTTTGATACTTTGGATATATATATATATATATATATATATATATATATATATATATATATATATATATATATGATTGGAGTTTGCATTAACGAATATAAACCAATTCAAATCGCGGTGAATTAATCAAAAAATGAAAATCAAAAATCAAAAAAAATCGTAAGATTTAATTGTTTTTGATTATCTTTGGATTGGTTGATGAATATTGATAATGATTTCTCAACCTTATTATTTACCTACTTGGGCCTTTCCTCAATCATAGCCTAAAAATCATATAGCAAAATTTTAAATCCAAGACCCATTAACCTATCATGTTGGAAAAAGCGGGTAATAATTTATCTATGTTATGTTTTTTTGTAAGATACATAATATATTTTTATTACATGGGTTATTGTTGTACAGCTCCTTTATAGGATGAAAATTTGAGTTACTTCGTATATCAGGCAACCATATTATAATTTTTTGTTGGAGGTAAAAGATGGTAATTCAACTTTTTGTTGTACACTGCTTCTAGATTGCACAATAATCATCATACAAACTTTATAAAGCCGATACATACAAAAAATATGTTATTTACACAATAATCATCATACAAATCTTAGCCTTTTTCAAAAAATCAAAAACCGATCCAATTCAAACTGAATAAAATTGGATTGGATCGGATCAGACTTGAAAAAAAAAATTCAAACTCAATGAATGATTACATGATTAAACTGAAGGAATTTGATCGGATGATTTTTGTTTCCAAAACCGATCTAATACAGATTGCGAACACCCTAATATATGAGTCATATATATTAAAATTAATCTCCCATGCATCATCCTCGGTTGAGGACGACGGCAAACATTATACAAACATCATGACAATTAAAGAAATAAAAGCAAACATATCATTTATTTTGAAAACAAAAGTAATTAAATTAAATCAAAGTATGATTAAACAAAGTTAAAATTTTATTTTCTAATTGATCAACATTGGGATGAGAATTAAAATATTCATTCTAATTGATTTTTCTCATTGAAAATAAGTGTAGCTTTGATATTTAAGACTTTGTAATCCTAACAAACTTCAATCATTGAGTTAGGAAACCTCAAATATTAAACACGAGGAATATTATAGCATGTAAATATGGTTAAAAAATAAAAATACTAAATATACGAATATTCTAACATATAAAACATAACGAAATATGTTTGTAAGTCTTCAAAATTTATAAGAAACAAATTGATAAGGCACAAAGGAGAAATGCTGACATTTATCTTGTGAAATTCAACCTATTATTATTTAAAAGGAATTGCTGCATGAAGCACTAGCGGTCGGAAAAGCATTCAAGTTGCTTGCCTTCTCCTGCCGTTTGCTCGCTTCGATCACAACGATTTTGGAGGCCCGGCATAACAACAACTAATAGAATTTAAATTATGTTATCTTAATTAGTTAATGGTTAGGTAGATCAATCTAATCGTTTAAGATAACATACTTTTGAAATATCGACTTCTTGTTGCTAAACACGGATATACAACCTTATCGTGATGCAGAATGAGTTGTTTTTCACTTCCGAATAAAATTAACATAGCCACAACAACTTAATTTCCAACAATTTTGAGAAAAGAGGTTAACATGTTGCGGTTTTTTTCTGCGGGGGACATTTTTCTCCATCCATATTGATTGAAACTTGCCAATCTACTTCAACTGGCAAAACATGAATTGCAGCAAGAGGTCAAGGAGGGAGACGATGCTGTGTGACTCCATTTTTGTATTATGTATTTTAATTTTTTTTTTGTTATTTAAAAAGATAAAATAATTAATCAGATGTTATATATCGTTTTTCAAGAGCAAGTACGAACACTAAGAGATTTAATCACTTTTAAAAAAAATTTACTCTTATTCAGTACATCAAATTGTATTTTAGCAACTTTGGAAAAATCTTAATGACTCGGGTTCATATTTAAGCTTTAAACAAAATTCAGTTGAACTATACTGAATTATATTGTGCTTGTTCTCAATTTTATCAATTCAGGCTTTCAATTTACCAATTTAATCAAGCTTCAATTCCTGTCCACTATCAAACTTGAAAAGAAAGGAGAGTCCCGTACTGCTGTAACGTCATGTTACGTATCGATAAATAAAGAGTTTATTCGAATCTTTCCGAATCTTAAGCTTTAGAGAAGAACTTTAATAGAAAGTAGTGGGATAATTTTAAATTATATTTTTAGGGATAGTTTCAATGGAATGAACAGCGATGTTCACTTCCGAATTTAAATGTTTAATTAATACTAATTTATTCGATACAAGTTTGCTCGTTGTGAGATATAAAATAATTAATTTAATCTCGTCTAATACCTTAAAAATTTTGGGATTGAAGTAGCGCTTATTATGGTATCTCCAGTAACTACGAATTCACGAGTTCGATTCTTTCTACCCTCACTCTCAGGTGAAATTAAAAAAAGCATAACACAGATAAAAAAATAGACTTGTGCAGCACAAGCCAAATCAATAATGAACTTGTACATATCTACGCTTTAAGTTTAAAAAGCTCTTACATAAAAGGAATGGTGTATTAGAGAAATATAAAATAATAAATTTAACTTCACCAAATACCTTAAGTTTTTGGGTTGAAGTAGCGCTTATCACATGCAGAACAGAAACTCCATCACATGCATGACTCTGGGAAAGGGCATGCATGAGCAGTCTTATAATGAGGTGATCATGACATGTGAGGGGCCTTTCTGGATTGTGATTGGTGGCCTCCAAAGCAGAAACCTACCTAACACTATTATTGAAAAAATTTGTTATCAAATCATATACAATCACTGTCCCTTCTCATGAATTTTGACATAACTCACTATCTCTACTATGTTACACTAATTTGATCAAAACTATATAATATGGGGGCAACAAAGATTCGCTTGCCTAACAGCCAAGGATATGGAGAGCCAAAGCCAACTACAAGTTTCAAATTCACATCAACAGAGTGGAGGAACCACCTTTCTAAAAACTTGTTTCAATGGACTCAACTCCGTGTTAGGTCTCTCTCTCTCAAAATATGTGTCTGAACATTACCACTTTACCAGCCTTAGCAAGATGGATAAAAGGAAATATGTTTGCATGACATGCTTGTTCAGCATGCTATTTAGTAAATATTCTTTGCAAGTGTTGATTGAATGTAGAAACATCGTAATCTTTCAATAATTATGTTGTTAGAGACAAATTGCATGTCTTTTCACAATCCTGATTCAAATGAAATTTTTTTTGGCAACACTATAAAGCTTCATCATATGTTTCGTTTTCCTCCAATTTTGGGTTATTCAATGGCGAATACCTCAAAACCACAGGGTGAGTAATTAAAATTGAAGAAATCAAGGTGCAGAACTGCTAAAATGTCAGTCCTCCCGTTCTTTGTTAACTGAAAGAGAGTTCATTTAGCTATAACTGACAGGGTATGTTTAAGCTGGGTGCGTATAATATTCTAACTTTGATAATATGGTTTTTCAGGAGTTGGGATACTCTCAATGCCTTATGCAGTTTCTCAAGGAGGGTGGCTGAGTTTAATACTGCTATTTCTATTTGCTATGATAAGCTGGTACACAGCGTTACTTCTGCAAAGGTGTATGAATGGACATCCACTAATCAAATCCTACCCTGATATAGGTCAGGTTGCTTTTGGGTACAAAGGAAAAGCTTTGATAGCCATTATCATATATATAGAGCTGTTTCTAATTGCCGTGGAGCTTCTGATATTAGAAGGTGACAATTTGGAGAAGCTGTTTCCAAACGTGAGCTTCACAATTGCAGGTCTTAGAATTGGAGGTAAAAGAGGTTTTGTCATGCTTGCTGCTTTGGTAATATTACCAACAACATGGTTGAGAAGCTTGGGAGTTCTGGCTTATGTTTCTGTTGGTGGAATACTGGCTTCTATTATTTTACTCGGTTGTGTTGTGTGGGTGGGTGAAGTTGATGGTGTGGGGTTTCATGAAAGAGGACACTTTGTTCATTTGGGAGGAATGGCCACTGCTGTGAGCATTTTTTCGTTCTGTTTTTGTATGCATGCAGTACTCCCCACACTAATCAATTCCATGAAAGACAGAAGTCAGTCTTACAAGGTATGTTGTCCTAATTAATAATTGCAATCAAATCGAGGAAAATCTGTTATATTTTTATGTTCAAGTTCATGTGTTCAACAACCATATCATTAAAAGCTTAAACTGTTAAACAATCGTCTCATCTAAAACTTTAAACTATTAAACAATCACCTCCAGTGTTATCAAACCTGACTCAAACTGGCCTAGTCGACCCGGAATTCGGCAAACCGATCATTGAACTGGTTCGAGTCAAGTATCGGACCAGCCACGTATTGGATCCGGTGACCTGGTTGGGTCATGAAAACCGGTGGATCATGCATTTTATTAAAAAAAAAAAAAAAGTTGTCTCTTCTTGTCTGAAAAAAAAGTGTGTAACTACTTTCAAAAAAATTTCTATTTATGTTTGCTAGTAGTATGCTCTCCTATAGAGACCTCAAATTTTAGCTTTTTGCGAAAAAGTTAAAAGAATGTGACATATTGATTCCTTAAAAATCCATTTTTATGGGAAGAGTTGTTGGTAAACGCTTTATAATTATGAAACATGGTTAGTTGAAGATATTTGGTAGAGGAATTACATATGGTTGATACTTGAATTTTCTTTCTTCTTTGTTTATTTCTTTTACAATATATTGTATATATGTGGTTATCATATATGATTTTTTTTATCTCTACAAAAACTATATATGCTCGCAGCTCAGCTCAGTATAACAATTTTTTATATGTATTTGAATATATTATGGAATTTTATGTATAAAATATAGATTTTTATATATCAACTCGAGTCATACGGTTCAACCGATAACTCACCGATTGAACCAGTGATCCAGTATCTTGGTCGGGCCAATGACTGTGTCGGTTCTGATAACATTGATTACCTCCATGACTATGGGATCACGAGTTCGATTCTCACCGCTCCACTTTCTATTGGAATTAAATCAGCACAAAGTAAAATAAATAAAAATGAGTCTGGGCAAGCTTCAAAGCCCAAATAACTATCATGTAAAGGAGATAAAAACCATTGATTAACCATCACTTAACAACTTAAAATGTAAGATGAAATGGTTTTTTAATATCATATATAGGTAAATTGGCTTGGAAAATGACTAAGTAATACTTGAAATCCAAGCAGTAATTAGGTTCCCCTCACTTCTATCTTCATTTATGTAGAATTGACATTCATATTGTTTGCCAAATGCAGGTTTTGCTGGTTTCCTTTGTGGCAAGCACCATAGTCTATGGATCCATGGCTATTTTAGGCTATATGATGTTCGGAGAATATTTGATGTCTCAAATCACCTTAAATTTACCGACGAAGAAAATAAGTACAAAAATTGCAATTTATACGACAATAATCAACCCTTTGACTAAGTATGCTGTTGTAATCACCCCAATAGCCAATGCTATCGAGGACAAATCGCTTCTCTGCAAGAGAAGGCCTATTGCCATCCTCATGAGATCAACCATTGTCGTCAGCACTGTACTTATAGCACTGTTCATTCCCTTTTTTGGTTATATTATGGCGTTTATTGGTGCATTCTTGAATGTGGCAATCTCATTGTTGTTCCCATGCCTCTGCTACCTAAAGATAAACAAAGCTGCTCGGCGATTTGGGTTCGAGCTGATCATTATCATAGCAATATTGCTAATAGGATCATTCATTGGAATACTGGGTACCTACATCTCTGTGAGGCAGATAGTAAATCAGCTCAAGTCATCATGAAGTTGAGTGCTTAAGGCTTTTAAAAACCTATTTCAGCATTTACTAATAATGTACGCTACCAAATAATGATATATTTACATCCACTAGGGTTGTATTTGCATATCTTCGTCGTCGGGTAATTTGCTTTTTCCTAATGGATGAAACAGAAAAGAAAGCCTAATTAATTTTACCATAGATGCATATTTGAAATATCGTTTTAGTTCCCATGTGATTTGCAGGGTAAGCATTTTTCTTTTTTTATCACGTGAATGGCTACACATAACGTACATATCTTAATAAGATGGTTGACAAATCAGACTCCAACAACTTCATTGAATGTCCAATACTACCAAAGGCCGATTGTCCAGACACTGTTGAGTTCCCCATCTTCTAGTCGTAGAATGCACTAAAGAAATGTCAGAAAGTGGCAAAGCAACCCAACTTAACTATTTGTAAGATCATTTGCTTGTTATCAACTGTTAACATTTATTGGCAATATCACCATTGACATACTGCCCAATAATAAGTAATGTATGAATAAAAGATATGCTTCTTTTTATCTAAGGGCAACAATGATGTGCTTTTGCTTACTAGTGCTCTCTTTTATATCAAGTACCCATTTTATAATCTTCCATTCTAATTAAAGGAAAACGGAGAAGTGAGGTCTTATTGGTTATACCGTAATGGTGAAGTGAATTCCAAGCAGCCACGATTGAATTACTTATTGCTCTTTATTGAACTTGGCTCAATAGCATATGCTTTCTCCCCGGCCAATTACACTTGAAACTATCATCCATATGAATGCATAACTTGTATAGTATAAACAATTTCACTTGTCCAATATGAATGCTAAGCGATTGATTACGAGAAATAATTACTTTTTAAAAAAATATCGTAAATCTGGAGAGAAAAAAGAGAGATTATTTTTTTGAAATAAAATACTCCAAACACGTATTTATTACAAAAAAGAATGGGTAAATTAAGTCATAAAGAATTTAAACAATATAAATGTGTTACGGTTTTATTTATGTCATTTTATTATTTTCTGAATTATTGAGTTGTTTAAGTAGTGGGTAATTATTTTTCTTGTTTTGTTATTAGTGGAGTCTATTTTATGTTAATGGGTAGTTACTTTTATAATTGACTCATATTATCTATTTAACCCTTTATACAAGAGGTCAGGATTCCTCAATAAAGTCATTTTGTAACATCCCTGTCTCGAGCCGGTTCAATTAACATACATATGATACAAACAAAAACAACGAAAGACTTAACTTACGAAAATACGAGCTAACTTTTTCTTTTTCTTTAATCCTTTTTCACATGACATATCACATTGCATACTTCTTCTAATTTAATTCTTATTTGACGGAGATGAAAATCTGACAGAGTAACATCTGTAAATCGGACAACTGGGGATTTGCAAATCCCACTCTCGAGGTACCTTGATAGACAATTTATACAGTATATACTTTCAGACATACCAGATATCCATACGGGATCATATACCCATCCATGGGTGCATGCATAACTTGGCTCCATGCCACTATTTCTAACAGCATGCAATCCAACACATAAACATAAACTGAATACTACGTCATCATATCAACATGCCTGAATACTCAAGTGTACATGCATCCAACTGAAAGACACGTACAAAACATATACAGACCATATACAAAATAAAGGATCAGACATCATGATCACCAAATGAATAGTACACTATACAATAGTACATGTTCTCCAAAAATAATATCTATAATAAATAGTAGCCTCCGGCTACCCAGAACTCCATATCCTCATACTAGTACCTCTAGCCACGGGTAGTGTCCTTGTCCCATGAGGGCTCTTCAATTAACTGTGTTCCTGAAATCATATCCCCAAACGGGGTTAGAGACGAATCTCTAGTAAGCTCTAGGTTTATAGAGAACTCTCCATACCCTGAGCTCACTTTCTGCATGACAGTCAGATACATAATATACAAAACGTCATATATCATACTATACTGAACATATCTCGTATAACATATCATATAATCAAATATCATAACTAAACAAAGCATATACACAAATCTTATCAGAGACGTACGCAGTCATTCCCAAGGGATGACCCCACGCGGAAATCAACGCACGTAACAAATATCATATACAAAAATCATCACAATAATCACATCAGAACAAAGTGTATCATATCAGAGATGTACGTAGTCATTCCCAAGGGATGACCCCAAGCAGAAATCAACGTACATGTTCCCATGGGAGGACCCCAAGCGGAACCAAAAACATATCAGAGATGTACACTATCAATCCAAAGGGATGACCCCAAGCAGACATCAGTGCACATAGGATCAATGGCCAAAGATCATCACATAACAGAGTGTACACAATCAATCTCAAGGGAGGACCCCAAGCGAAAATCAGTGCACATGTTCCCAAGGGAGGACCCTGTAACATCCCCGTCTCGAGCCGGTTCAATTAACATACATATGATACAAACAGAAACAGCGGAAGACTTAACTTACGAAAATACGAACTAACTTTTTCTTTTTCTTTAATCCTTTTTCACATGACATATCACATTGCATACTTCTTCTAATTTAATTCTTATTTTACGGAGACAAAAATCGGACAGAGTAACCTCTGTAAATCGGACAACTGGGAATTTTCCAATCCCACTCTCAAGAGTTCCTGATAGACAGTTTAAACAATATATATTTCCAGAAGTACCAGTCATGCAAATATACTCAGATACCCATCTATGGGCGCATGCTGAACTTGGCTCCGTGCCACAAATCTAATAGCATGCAATCCAATACATAACATAATTGAATACTACATAGTCATATCATCATGCCTGAATACATAAATGTACATGTATCGAATATGAACACTATGCAACAATACATCTTTTCCAAAAATACGTCTAAAACAAATAGTAGCATCCGACCACCCAAAACTCCACATCCTCATACTAGTACCTCTAGCCACGGTTAGTGTTCTTGTCCCATGAGGCTCTTCAATTAACTGTGTTCCTGAAATCATATCCCCAAACGGGGTTAGAGACGAATCTCTAGTAAACTCCAGGTTTATGGAAAACCCTCCATACCCTGGGCTCACTTTCTGCATGACAGTCAGATACATAATATACAAAACATCATATAAGCAATTATCATAACTGAACAAAGCATATATACATATCTTATCAAAGACAAACGCAGTCATTCCCAAGGGATGACCCCAAGCGAAAATCAACGCACGTAACAAATATCTTTTACAAAAATCATCACAATACTCACATCAGAACAAAACGTGTTATATCAAAGATGTACGCAATCGTTCCCAAGGGATGACCCCAAGCGGAAATCAACGTACGTAACAAATATCATTTACAAAATCATCATACATATCCCATAAAACATGTCATATAATCAAATATCATAACTAAACAAAACATATACACATATCTTATCAGAAACGTACGCAGATATTCCCAAGGAAGGACCCCAAGCGGAAATCAACGCACGTGTTCCCAAGGGAGGACCCCAAGCGGAACCAGAACATATCAGAGGTGTACGCAGTCATTCCCAAGGGAGGACCCCAAGCGGAAATCAACACACGTGTTCCCGAGGGAGGACCCCAAAGCGGAACCAGAACATATCAGAGGCGTACGCAGTCATTCCCAAGGGAGGACCCCAAGCGGAAATCAACGCACGTGTTCCCGAGGGAGGACCCCAAAGCGGAACCAGAACATATCAGAGGCGTACGCAGTCATTCCCAAGGGAGGACCCCAAGCGGAAATCAACGCACGTGTTCCCGAGGGAGGACCCCAAAGCGGAACCAGAACATATCAGAGGCGTACACCATCAGTCCCGAGGGAGGACCCCAAAGCGAACATCCGGGTACTATACAATCAATGGCCAGATATTGTTACAGAAATCATATTACAGAAGTCATATCATAACAAAACATATCATATTAACACATATCAAAGTAAATACATCAAAACAAAACATATCATACAACCTGACCACAGTCCGTACACTATGGCGGAACACAAAGTAGGAGCGAACCCCATAAACATAGAGCTTACCTCTTGGAGCTTTACAATTTGCTTACTTGAAGAACAAGCTACTTGTCTTGCTCCACGAGAATTCAAAAGTTCACAATCCCTAGGCACACCTAGAGAAGGAATTCACACAATATCAATAAAATGGTTCAAAGTCAAGTAGTTAACTAGACACACCATTTATTGATTTTATCTTTTACTTATCAACTATTTCTTAACTATTCATACATACGGTACTGTTCATCTCTACAGTACTATTCATGTATACGTCACTATTCACGTATATGGTACTATTCATATACGTCACTATTCAAAAATACGGTATCTCAAATTTTTCTGAATACATTTTCACCGTTAAAATCCTCATCTAAACACTTTTCTCATCATGAGCTAAGCCTCAATCAAGCTCTAACATGCTCAATCAAGCCAAACTTTAAAAATGAAAACCTAAATCAATCCTTCTCAAAACTCAAAGGAAACTAGGATTTCTTGACACAGACTTACCTAGAATCACCCAATGAGTGGATTCTCAACCTCAAACAAGATCAAAACGCCTTCTTGGACCTTCAATCAACAAAGGGGCGCCACTTTCCCTTCTATTTTTCTCTCAATACAAGGTTTTTTGATAGATTATGGATTAGGGGTTGTGTTTGTCTCTCAATTCTAAGCAACTTTGGTTTTTACCACACTTGATTTCATAAAGAAATGAAAAAGTTGGAATTTAAGCTCTCTAACAATGGCTACGGACGACGCACAGAGAAGAAGAGGAACGAGGCACGCGCGTGAGAAAAAAATAAGGAAATGAGGTTTCTGTTTGTAAACTTAAAGTATTTAAGTTAGTTTAATTGGGTAAAGTCTTATCTATCTACGCACCGTATATTTAAGTTAGTTCCCAAGGGAGGACCCCAAGCGGAACCAGAACATATCAGAGGTGTACGCAGTCATTCCCAAGGGAGGACCCCAAGCGGAAATCAACGCACGTGTTCCCGAGGGAGGACCCCAAAGCGGAACCAGAACATATCAGAGGCGTACGCAGTCATTCCCAAGGGAGGACCCCAAGCGAAAATCAACGCACGTGTTCCCGAGGGAGGACCCCAAAGCGAAACCAGAACATATCAGAGGCGTACGCAGCCATTCCCAAGGGAGGACCCCAAGCGGAAATCAACGCACGTGTTCCCGAGGGAGGACCCCAAAGCGGAACCAGAACATATCAGAGGCGTACACCATCAGTCCCGAGGGAGGACCCCAAAGCGAACATCCGGGTACTATACAATCAATGGCCAGATATTG